GGGGTGTAGCCACCGGCTTGGGGTGGATATCCCCCTGGTTGAGATGGGTATCCTGGATAGCTCATCTTCAGAACCTGGAGGTGAAATTATGTTGTGGTTTGTTATTGTGATGTACACTTGAGAGCCACAAAATTATGATAAGATCCTTTTGGTGGGCTACCATTCATCTAAACATTTGTTGCTGGAATTACACAGCTGTTAAGGTGTCTTTGTGTTATCCCATAACTAAACAAAATACCCAGAGCTGCATGTCAGTCAGCTGTGATGAGGAAAACCCCAACAGGCAAATTGCCAGTTAAGTTCTTCCACACCGAATTCATCCAGCCATGTCTTTATGGACCTTGCTTTTTTGCACTGGGGCACAGCCATGCTGGAATAGAAAGGGCCCTTCCCCAAACTGTTTCCACAAAGTTGGAGGCATAGTGCTGTTCAAAATGTCTTGGTATGCTAAAGCATTAAGACTGCCCTTCGCTGGAAGTAAGGGGCCTAGCGCTCCTTCACCAAACTTCACAATGCAGTCAGGCAGGTAATGTTCTCCCAGCATCTGCCAAACCCAGGCTCACCCATCTGATTGCCAAACAGAGAAGTGTGATTTGTCACTCTACAGAACCCATTGCCACTGCTCCACAGTCCAGTGGCAGTGTGCTTTACACCAGTGGTCCCCAACCCCCGGGCCGCGGACCGGTACCGGTCCGTGGATCAATTGGTACCGGGCCGCACAAGAACTCATTAATTATTTCCGTTTTATTTATTATCTGAGTCTGAATGATCTTTTATTTTGAAAAATGACCGCATTCTCTCGGTTACACCTCGGTCACTTGAGCGCCAAAACTGTCGCCATGACTGTGCAAGAAGAAGATCAACTGCTGGAGATCGCAAATGACGGCGGCCTTAAAAGTATGTCTCGAACAACTCTACCGGTGTTCTGGATTAAAGTCATGAGCGCCAAAACTGTCTTACTTGTGCGACATATTCAGCCTGCTCAATGAACTCAATCTGTCACTTCAGGGGAAAATGACAACTGTCTTCAAGTTGGCAAATAAAGTAGCTGCATTTAAAGCCAAACTGGATTTGTGGGGACGGCGCGTCAACAGAGGCATTTTGGACATGTTTCAAACATTAGCGGGGATTTTGGGTGAGACTGAGCCTGAGCCTTCATTCTCCCAGCTGGTGCACGATCACCTGTCTTTGCTTTTAAAAGAGTTCGAGCGCTACTTCCCAACCACAAAGGACCCACGAACTGCCAAGGAATGGATCCGCAACCCATTTGTCAACAAACCAGGTGAATCCAGCAGGTCTGTGCAACAAGAAGATCAACTGCTGGAGATCGCAAATGACGGCGGCCTTAAAAGTATGTTCGAGACAACAACTCTGTCGGTGTTCTGGATTAAAGTCATGACAGAATACCCTGAGATCGCCACCACAGCACTGAAAACCCTGTTGCCATTTCCGACATCCTATTAATCACCCCCCCCCAAGTGATAAAAAGGTTGGGGACCACTGCTTTACACTATCCAAATCTTGGCATTGGACTTGGTGATGTGAGGTTTGTATGCAGCTACTCGGCCATGGAAACCAATTCATTGAAGCTCCCGCCACACAGTTTTTATGCTTATATTAATGCCAGTGGAAGTTTGGAACGCTTCAGCTATGGAATCAGAGCATTGGTGACTTTTACACACCATGCACCTTAGCAGTCATTGACCCTGCTCTGTGACTTTGCATCTATATCTTACAAATAGTATACTGAAAACTTTAAGCTTACAGCCAAAGATAATACTACTGAGCTGAGCTTTCCTAAGATTTTAGATTAATTACCCTGAAAATAAAACTGCCCGGATCTAAAACAATAACAAATTAATCACTTGAATCCGTCTTGATCCTTTCCATTGTTATGGCAAAGTTGTCTTATCATGATTCAGTGAATGCAAAATGAAACTTGATACCAATTCTGTAGGTTGATACACATTTATTCCTGCATAGGTTTAAGGAAACGTCTGTCACACAGGAAAGAAACTATCTGGTTCAACATCCATACAAGGACATACTTTTCATTAAAGACTTGAACACAGAAGTTTGTCTAGTTTTATAAGCACACAAATAACTATATAAAAAAAAACCTGCATGGCAACAATCAGTATATTAATAAGGCTTCCATCGCACCATTCACCGTGACTTTACTGCCTACTTAAATGTGACTTGCTGAAGGATGTTTGACTGGTAACACACCCCTGTGGCTACTCAGCTTTCTCAGCTGGACAGGATGCACAAGCGTTACCAGAAAAACCAGACTGTAGGGTGGAGTCAGCTAAAATGGGCCACTTTTTGGTCAATTGTTTTGAAGACTATAAACTATGCTATGGATAAAATGTAAAGATTTTCTAAACTGCCATGAAACTCAAATATTTATTTGTTAAAAATAAATTATTGGAAATTGGAATTATGAGTTAGAGTGTCAGCTGTTCAGCTAAAATGGGCCAATGTTAATGGAAACAGTTTTTTCAGCTAAAATAATTTTAACAGTAAACAATGTCTTTTGTGTGCCACAGTGACACTGTAAAACATTTGATGGAATAAAATGCTGAGCATATAATTTATTTAAGAATGCAATCAAACATGAACTAGTGTGTGTGCATGTCAGTGTGAGTGTGTGTGGGGGGCACTTGTGTGTGTGCCTGTCTGTGTCTCTGCTTTCCATGCCCACATCCAACATTTTTCAGATTTTCAAAGTATCAAAAATATTAGAACATCACTGACATAAAAAAAAAACTCAAGAACACCAAGCATGTCAACTTTCCTGGCTTAGTCTTAATATCTTATCTAGTTAAGTCTCTTGAGGTCTTGTTTTGCATTTCCTTTAAATGCAGTCGTCATGGATGTAACCACCTGCATCATAGCTGCTATTATGACTTTTTTCTCTCATCTATTCTCTCACTTTTCCCCTTCTCTGTCTGTCCTGCCATACAAATTTGCTATGCCATGCTCACTTACCATGCAATTTCTTTGAGAGACTAATCAACACTCTGCCCTGCCCACATCAGCAGCCGGAGACTAATCAAAACTGTTTACATGTCAAGTGGTGTTGCAGCAACAGTGAGAGGTCAGTCACTGTGACAGGCTGTAAAATTTTAAAGAACTAGGACACCCTAGTCTGATTTGGGTCATTTTAGCAGAATCCACCTTACACCAGGACCCACAAAAGGTATGAATGCATCCTTGTAAAAGTCCAGCTTTGTTTACTACTGACATAAGGATAATTCCAGAAAACACTGACATCTAATAATAGTATTTTCTTTGCATTTTCAAACATGACCCGTTCAAGTGTCCAACTGGCTTTTCATAATGTCCCCTATAAACTTCTTGGTTTATAAATTAAAATAGTAACCAAAGGACTGCTGCTGTTATTATACTGTGCATCATTTTTACAGTCTGACACGTTAAAGAACGCGCATGTGCACATCTAGTCTCCTGAACAGTGGAAAGCAGCAAAACCTCTAATATGTTTGAGGTTCAGGCCTGCGACTTCTCGACTCGCCAACTAGCTATGTAGCTACGACATTACAGTCTTCATATAGGCACCAGGAAAATAAGGCGTAACTATGTAATGCCCATCCGCTATCGAGCCTAATGTGCCATTTCACCCCAGCTTCACCTTTGATGCCCGAGCTTTGCCACCCTGCTGTACTTAGCTAGTTAAACGTTAACGACATAATCCTCTCAGAAGCTAACGTAAATGCTTAGTAATAGCGGTATTAACAGGTTAGATATTAACACGTTTGATAGGTTGGATATGATGCCATTTCAAGTATCAGTATGTTTGTAAGACTACATTTGAAAAGTCCAGTGCTTTTTGCTGTTGAGCCATCGTCAAACTGCTCATTTGGGGCCGTTTAATTAGGGGAAGCTTATTTCCTACATTCGATAGTCAGAGTAAATAAGCTAACAGACACCGAAAACTTTATGCGAACATACTGATTACCTTCGTAGTCACATGCAACGCAGAACCGGAGTATTATTTTGCGAACATTTAACGATACAACCTAAAAAGTAAAGACTGAAGCAACTTACTTAACAGACGCGGAGTTGAGATCGAGGAATAGACGAACCGAGGAAAGACTACGTGTGGGTGTGTTCTTCCGCCAATGCAGTTGGCAAACAGCTTTTACAGGACAGTGGGTGTGTCCTCGGCACTGTTCCTTCTTTTAACATTAAATAGGTGGACAGGATTTACACTTATGATATATGCAATTACATTTTGACTAGACAGACATACACACACACACACACACACACATATATATATATATGAGAAGAGGAAAGGCAGGAGTATAGGTCTGAGAATAGGGACTCCTAACGTTGGCACAATGACAGGGAAAGGTAGAAAGCTGGCGGACATGATGGAGAGATGGATGTGCTAAAAGAGGACATGAAGTTATTAATTGGGGTGAGAGTAGAGGATGCCGAGGAGAGAGTTAGGTGGAAACAGATGATTCGCTGTGGCGACCCCTAACGGGAACAGCCGAAAAAAGAAGAAGTACATATATACATATACTGTGTGTATACTGTATACATATATATATATATATATAGTGTGTGTGTGTGTGTGTGTGTGTAACATCACC